TTTCAAAGCAGAAGAATATTCTGCATCAGATATCTCAAGCCAGCGAGGCCATCCGACGGAAGCACAGGATGTTGAAGTTCGGTAAAGATACAGTTGAAAAAGCTATGGAAGAAATGTTCAAGCCTATTGTAACACCACTCCAGAGTAGAGTTGAAAGTTCAAAGCTGAAGGAAGAAAATATTAAAAAAGAAGAAAAACCGCAGGTTGAAAAAGAAGAGGTTCAAGAACAAGAGATCGAAAAATCGTTATATGCTGATCCAGAAGAGTACAACAGTTTAATATCAAACGATGAAAGTTCATTAAACAACACATCATTCGCTGTAACCCAACCACCGCCATCAACAAGTACTCCAGCTCGTAAAAATCCTCCTCTCATCAATTATTTACAACGTTCTAGTAAAAAACATAAAGATAATGATATGAGATATGGTATACGCAGAAAACATGGTGAATTGCATACGGGTGATTCACCTACTTCATTTGCAAGTGATACAATAAGTATCGAAGGTAAAAATTATCCAATAACTCCTGGGTTGTTGGAATTATTATTTAGAAAATCGCCAGATGATGCACTCATCACCCCAGATGATAAGGAGAAGTACTTGGATATAATCCAACATACCAACACTCATAGGAAAAATTATGATCCAAATCGTTCCATTTATGAAGATATAACAATAAAGTACAATAAATACGTTGCTGATTTTATCACTAAGTTCAGTAAAGGGTTACCAAAATATATGATTGCAAGAAAACAGAGATTACCAATGGATTATGTTTACTGGGATGATCCAAATGAGCTAGTTGATCGTTCGCGACTACTGATGGCATCTCAAGCTGCTGGAAACCCAAGTCACACGAATGAAATCATGTAATTTATTGAAGAGCTTAGGGAGGCTAGAGTTATATATTAAAAGCTTCTAGAAAATAACACCATTCACACGCTGACAGTCAAAGTGTTAAGAACTATGAGCATCGATATATTTGGACGTCCTCTGGACAATGACAAATCGGTTCAACGAGGTCCAGCTGGTAGAGGTTTCAATATAACTTCTGATGGAAACTATAACATTGAGAATAAAAGGCTGTGCAATCTCGGTAATCCTTCAAAAGAACATGATGCAGCGACAGTGCAATTTGTACTGAGACAGATGTCTGACTTGAATAAAAGCATAGACAGTGAACAGAAAGAGATTATTTCACATTTGCACTCTGAAATAGTAATATCCCGAGAAAAAATGTTTCTATATAATCATATATAATTGTATATAATCATATATGATTATATATGAATATATATGGAATCACATATATAATTATATAGAATTATATATAATCATACATGATTATATATGGAACTGTATATGAGGTCATATATAATCATATATATTATATATGACTATATATGGAGCAATATACATCAGCTATGCAAGATTGTACATAGTCCCATATATAATTATATATAATTATACATGATTATATATGGAATTGTATAAGAGGTTATATATAATCATATATAATTATACATAACTATATATGGAGCTATACACAGCCATGCAAGATTATATATAATCATACATGATTATAAATGGAA